TTATTTACATCGTTTATTCATTTTTCCCGTGAATAATAATAATAATAATCTTATACATTTCTTCAGTTGTAATCATTCACTTTAATTATCTTCTTTCATCTTCGACGTAATTCTGTATCGTATTTTATCTTCGTTTATTCATCTTCTTTATTCATTTTTCAACACGTCTACGAATCTGGTAAAAATAAATTATACTTTCCACCTAACCGGACCTAACCTAACCTAACCTAACCTAACCTAACCTAACCTAACCTAACCTATTCATAATTTTCTCCCCTATCTTGCGTATTCATTAGTATTCACTTTACATAACCCTATTCAGAGAGAGAGATAGAGAGAGAGAGAGAGAGAGAGAGAGAGAGAGAGACTACAGGATGGCCGATGGCATTCTTAGGAAAAAAAAAAAATAGTTTTAAAATTTTCAGGCATAAATCATACAATAACGAAGGCCCGAGGCGGTTGTTGCAAGGAAGAGATGTAGAAAGTTGAAATATTCCAAGGGGGAAATATTGCCAAGCGTGGGAGGGAGGAGAACACAATGTGGGTATAAGGAGAAGAGTGTGTGGGGGGCGAGAAGAGTGTGTGGGAGGCGAGAAGAGTGTGTGGGAGGCGAGAAGAGTGTGTGGGGGGCGAGAAGAGTGTGGGAGGCGAGAAGAGTGTGTGGGGAGGCGAGAAGAGTGTGTGGGAGGCGAGAAGAGTGTGGGGAGGCGAGAAGAGGTGTGTGGAGGCGAGATGAGTGTGTGGGGCGAGAAGAGTGTGGGAGGCGAGAAGAGTGTGGAGGCGAGAAGAGTGTGGAGGAGTGAGAAGAGGTGTGGGAGGCGAGAAGAGGTGTGGGAGGCGAGAAGAGTGTGTGGGAGGCGAGAAGAGTGTGTGGGAGGCGAAGAGTGTGTGGGGGCGAGAAGAGTGTGGGGAGGGAGAGATGGTGAGGTGTGAGGAGAGGGGCGTGGGTGGGGGTGGGAGGCGTGCAGTGAGGGCGTAGGGGTGGGAGTGGGGGCGTGCAGGGGGGGCGTGCAGATGGTCAATAACAGAGGCGTGGCGACAACGGGTCAATGATACTGTTCATGTATTTAGTCGCAAGATTAAATGTTTTATGTTTATTGACCTATCCACCCTCCCTTCCCACTCCACCACCCCTTCCTCCTCCCCCATCACTACCCCTTCCTTCCTTCCTTCCTGTCACTGCTTCTCCCTTCCCTTTCCTTCCCCTAACACACACACACACACACACACACACACACACACACACCCCCACCTGTCCCTCTCCTTCCCTCAGTAGGACCCGAAGCGTTTCCAATAGGAAAGGGATTAGGAGGAACAAATTCCCCAGACGTCCCCTTTATGTTGTTCCCTCAGACATCCCCATGTGTTGTCCCCTCGTGTTGTCCCCCAGACGTCCCTCGTGTTGTCCCCTCAGACGTCCCTCGTGTTGTACCCTCAGACGTCCCCTCGTGTTGTCCCCTGAGACCTCGTGTTGTCCTCGTGTTGTCCCCCAGACGTCCCCTCGTGTTGTCCCCTCAGACGTCCCCGTGTTGTCCCTGAGACGTCCTCGTGTTGTCCCCTCGTGTTGTCCCCCAGACGTCCCTCGTGTTGTACCCTGAGACGTCCCCTCGTGTTGCTCTCAGACGTCCCCAGTTGTCCCCTCAGACGTCCCCTCGTGTTGTCCCCTCGTGTTGTCCCTCGGTGTTGTCCCCTCGTGTTGTCCCCTCAGACGTCCCTCGTGTTGTCCCTCGTGTTGTCCCTCAGAGGTCCCTCGTGTTGTACCCTCAGACGTCCCTCGTGTTGTCCCCCAGACGTCCCTCGTGTACCCCAGACGTCCCTCGTGTTGTCCCCTCAGACGTCCCCTCGTGTTGTCCCCTCGTGTTGTCCCTCGTTGTCCCCTCAGACGTCCCTCGTGTTGTCCCTCAGACGTCCCTCGTGTTGTCCTCAGACGTCCCTCGTGTTGTCCCTCGTGTTGTACCCTCAGACGTCCCTCGTGTTGCCTTCATACGTCCCCTCGTGTTGTCCCTCAGACGTCCTCGTGTTGTCCCTCAGATGTCCTCGTGTCCTCGTGTTGTCCCTCAGACGCCTCGTGTTGTCCCCCAGACGTCCCTCGTGTTGTCCCCATACGTCCCTCGTGTTGTCCCCTCATACGTCCCTCGTGTTGTCCCTCAGACGTCCCTCGTTGTCCCTCGTGTTGTCCCTCAGACGTCCTCGTGTGTCCCCAGACGTCCCTCGTGTTGTCCCTCGTTGTCCCTCAGACGTCCCTCGTGTTGTCCCCTCAGACGTCCCTCGTTGTCCTCGTGTTGTCCCTCAGACGTCCCTCGTGTTGTCCCCTCAGATGTCCCCTCGTGTTGTACCTTCAGACGTCCCCTCGTGTTGTCCCCTCAGACGTCCCTCTTGTTGTCCCCAGACGTCCCCTCGTGTTGTCCCTCAGACGTCCCTCGTGTTGTCCCTCAGATGTCTCCTTGTGTTGTCCCCCTTGTGTCCTTCCCTTCTGTCTTCCCCTCACCTCCCTCACTAG